AATAATAATAATAAATAATTGGATAACATAGTATGGATGCTGAATCAGCATCCATACAATAAAGAACAGGATAACATAGTGTGGATGCATCAAGCATCCACACAATAATAATAAAGAACAGGATAACAAAGTATGGATGCTTGTCAGCATCCATACAATAAATAAAGAACAGGAGAACATAGGAGAACACAATTAGGATTATCTGCTTATCTGAGTAATGTACAGCCCTATTAGTTTTGCTCCAGTGTTTTCAGAGATGTGAATATAGCCTACCAGCTAGTGGAACAAGCAGTTTCCATCATGTTCCCTTCCCTCTTTGTCATGAGGCTCAGACTGCATTGAAGTTTCTTGCTGTCTCGAATATTTGAATACCAAAATTGAAAAACAATTACCTACCAAAAGAATGAATATCCGAATAGTTGTATAATTGGGTCCAGCCATAGTCGGCCTACTACCTGAATTAGCCTGACTTAAAAGAAGCCTGTGGCCCCAGCTTACCTGTGCTGGCACTGTTCACTGACAGCTGCTGGACTGAGTCTGGCAGATTATCCATCAGTCTGAATGAGGAGGAAAGGAAGGTAGCACAGTGAGGACAGAAATATGACAAGAGATGGAGGTCAGGGGTAGATAGTATGGTTATAACAACACAGTAGAACAAGCTGTCCTAGTGGATGTTAATACTTCTCTCAGGATAACACCTGATACACTCCTATAGTCTAAAATGGAAGGTTATGAGCTTCACAAAGTCTTTTATTGCACGATTTTATTAGATTGTGTAAATATTGGATATTAGGTCCACCCTGTGGCTTTACTTTTCATTTTCTCAGCAGATACTTGGTAACCATATATGGTTTTGTAAAATGTATTTAGTCTTTAGGAATACAAACAGTAATTATCTACAGACATTAAAAGGAAGCATTAAAATCTAAATATACATAAATACACTGGGGCAACAAAGCATGAAAAACCTCCCATAACCTGAAATCTGAAGAATATGAAAGGCTTTGGTGCCATATTACACCTTGTGTTACCACTGTATTTTAAAAACCTGAACATATTGGATAAAGATCATTGAAAATGTGACAGTGGGACAGACTGCATCTGCACTATTATAAACTATTTTGTAGTGTATGTTGGCATCTAACTAAAGTTTATGAGCAGCCCCTGTTCCTGGTTGGGCTTTAAAATCAGGGTTAAAACATCAACTACATTTGCCCAAGGGCCAGAATTTTCCTGAGCAGACACTGTTGGGCTCTATTTAAAAAATGGCTTAATTGAAATGTTATTTTTGTCACGCTCTATCAGTGTGAACTAACACATATAAACCTACTTAAATGATGAGGGTATGTGAAGAAGAAAAAAAAAACAAGAAATAAAACAAAATGTTAAATAAGAACATGAGTTTGTGCCCATTCTTGCATGAAGACACAGGACAAGCTGCACTCTTAAAAGCCTATCCTAAAATCCTCTTTCAACCAGAAGCCTGCTGTGTTGATGACAAGCTGGCAACAAGTCCACCAAGAATATTTACACATTGTCACCCAAAATGGCTCAAGAGCCATGGTAGATAACAAACACCCTGCAGATGTCCTGATCAATCACATTATTGACAGTGAGTAAAGTCAGGCCTCACCGCGCACTGCTGTCACTCACTGTTCAGTTACATAGCCATACTTTTGCTACTCCCCCAGGGATAGAGGCTACATTGTGTCTGTTCTTGCATTTTATGATGGTTTGATCCAGACATAAGCAGCTGGAGGTGGAGATAAAAGTGGGCGATGAGTTTAGCAGCCTGCGAACTTCCACGGACTACAATTTATCTCTGGTGGACAATGACTTGCTAACAACAAGCTTTATAGAGCCATGTTGTATTTGGTATGGCAATGAAGATGCTAACAGTTTTTGAGAATAGCTACCCTATTCTACCTACACTAATGCCTTGTTGCCATCGAAAGTTTAACCAGAATATTCTATTCTGTATACTTGTACAAATGTAGAGTATAAGCTGTGGCAAAAAAAGGCAAAAGACACATTCAAGCAATCCCCAAGAGTATGTGGTCACATGTTTCATTGCAGGTAATTAAATCTCTGCTGTGGATCAGCACAGTGACCTACCTGGCCTTGGCCTCCTGGACTTGAGCTGGGTTCTTGAGAACACTGTCCCAGGGCAGAGACCCACACAGCCAGTGAAGAAGACAAAAGCCCAAAATCTGGAGATCACCACGTCTAGATGGGGCTATAGTGAGACAAAGAAATGAGTTGGTCAAACATGATAAGAAAACTAATCATGTAATATTCTTTTACATGCTGCTTGCTTCTTTTATCCATCACTGGCTTTTACATTTGTCAGCATTTTTTCTAGCCTGGGGGAAAGAACATTTTTTTTAATTAATATCTCTTGAATAATTCCACAAAGACCAGAAGAAAATATAAAAAGCATTGATACAAAAATCTGTAGTATACTTTAGAGTATTTTCAAACAACAGATCTTTTCCAAGAACAGTCAAGGTTGGACAAAAGTAGCACTTGCTGTATTGTCAAGTTAGAGCTAAGAAGAATCAAAAAAATCCTACAGCACCTCCTACATGGTGTCACCTGTCAATAGCACATTTTTGTTTTGCCTAACAAGATGAAAGCTTGTCCTAAAAGCAGATCCCTGGTTTTGATTTACAGTCTGTATGAATGGATTTGCCCAAGGCACAATGACTATGAGACTATATACTCTATTAAAGCATAATACTGATGGTGGTGGTGGGTGGGGGATTCAGTTTGTGATCCCAACTGAGTGTGCATGGTCCCCCCACCCCACTAAGACAAAAACCTCTCTGGAGTACTCTGCTGACTTACAGTATTTCTTCTTACAGTGGTGTGTTTTATGAAACCAAATACCTTTGGCCTTTAGTATAATGCAGACACAAAAATATTGCTTTCTTGCACTTGTAGGTAGTAAAACAAAGAACTGTCTAGGGCTAAATCAGTACCACATGGTATAGAAGTCAACGGTTTATTGTTGACCTATTTTGTACTTGTGTATGTGCGTGATACACACTGAGTGTGTTCTAGCAGTCAGAACCCGAAGCCATCTTTATGTTTAAAGTTGAAGGCAGGGCTGGGCAGTGTGGCTAAAAACTCAATCTTAAGTTTTTTTTCAAGCTTGGAACCAGTTCACAATTGTAATCAGCTTTTTAACTGCAACACTAAAATATGTTTGAGCACCATCCTGCTTAAAATTGACTTCTTCATAGGGTATCCAAAAAACCTTAAGCTCACAAAACTAGAAGATTAAGCATGCAAGAAGTGAGGCTGAGTGAGTTTGAATGCTTTTTTTTCTAGTTTTTCCAGTTCACAGTAGGTTTAGTGTGTTAAGCATGATAACTTTTGCTAAGTAGCACTAAGCACAAAGTTCATCTGGGGCTGATGGAAAGATCATTAGTTTTGAAGGTGAAATTCTGATGTGATAGAGCTAGAAGGTGTGGTATGATCAGAGTTCTCGAAGTCGTTCCAGTCTGCGATCTTGAAGGACATTCTGTTCTGAGAAGCGAGGATCAAGGAGCAAGGAGACTGCCTGGAGAAGCCATGAGAAAGGATACATGAGGGCATCCTTCACTGAAGTCCTTTGTGTACTGACACGCCTCTTTCTTTATCAGAAATCAGTTGAAAGATTGGATGCTTCAGAAGAAGGATCTGAGAAACAGGCATCAAATCTGGAAAAACATTTTTCCTCAATTGCTCTCTCTTTACATCGCTTCCTTGCAGTCAGATAATTATTAGACTTTGTGTTATTAATGTACTTTAGTAAGATTCAAAGTCTGCTCTAGTCTGCTCTGTTTCAAGGTTAGCAGTAAGCCATGGCACCAATTGTTTTCTTGTTTTAATCTTGTTTAAGAATTATGTCTGAATGAATGATTTAGTTACACATCACGCATACAACATACACACACATTGAGCTACCTCATTTTATTATGACTAGGTAATACGCAGCTGCTCCAAGTATGTGGAGCTCTAGATAAGAGATGGAGTCTGCTGGACTGACTTTATCTGTGTAAGCGGTCAGCCCAAAACTGATAAATGTATTAGGCTCTGTGTTTCCGGGTGCTTTTTTTCCCTGCTCTCTTCTCCAGCAGCTTGTCTGAAGGAGGGAGCCCTGGGTTGTGTTCTGTAATCCTTTTTATACATATATATATATATATTTGTAAATAAACCAGCTCTAAATTCAAGAAAGACAGACTCCTTCCTTACTCAGATCTGTCCAGTAAAAGAACTGGGGTATAACAGTACTATACTATACTGTATTGATGCTGATCTTCTCACCATGTACTCACCAGTGATGGATTCTTCATTCAATTATAATGAATGACACTTCTTACAAAGAGCACTTTTCAAAGGGTTCAAGTGTGGACCAAGTGTTTATCACTCAAAGCACTGAAAAACATGCTTTAACATTGAGGTCTTTAGTTGTTAAATGCACTGTAATCAGCTGTGTATCTGCACTGTAACTATCTCCTGAAGATACAAAGACTTGCAAAGATTCAGAACAAAAAACACTTCAGGCATTTGATCCAGAGGGCAGTTAGAACAATGAAATTTAATACTGGGGAATATGAGGACATACAAAATTGCCTGTATGATACTTGTGTGATTTACCATAAAATAATACTTCCTTAAGAACAAGTCAGGAGTGGGTTTGAGTCTTACTGCGAGTGTGTGCATGACTGCATGGGTCTACATTAATGTGTGAGGTCTATCAATACTTGTGAACGACATCTATCCAGAGGGATCGGGCGTGGGGAGTTTTAGCAGCTCAATACTTTAACGGCCTTCACATGTCTCCGGAGAAATTACCTATTGACAGGTTCCATCAGAGGGTAGAATTCTCCTCCCTGAGCCACGGCTAGCATTGATCCTCTCCAGCCAACAGTCTGGTCTAAAGAGGAAACGTGGTCACTGCCACAGAGGACCAGATTACATGGAATAGGACGGTGGTGAACTGATTCCACATTAACAAATTTGTAGTTTATTAAATGTAAGTGTTCCCAATTTTTTAACTTGGGTATTATGGCTAGTGAGAAAAGGGCAAAAAGATGAAAGGAAATCACTTGTATAAATGTTGAGTGTTGTTGCCTTAATTAAAAAAAAAAAAAAAAGTCTGGGGTTAGCATGGAACACTAAACTGCTTGGCCCCAGCAGGGAGACTAAACAACTGATGAGGATGATTGGAATGGGTTTTTAAAGAGTGGGCGTTGACACTAACACTAAAAATGTCTTGAAAATAGTGACATTTGCTCGTATTCTTACAAGTTGGCATCAGTCACATGTCATTTTAAGCCACACTTCAAAAGATACAAAACAATTCACTGTATTGCAGGGTACAAGTCACAGGTTGCATTTGTGCACTTAGACTTTTTTAATATTTAAAAAAATCTGTAACTATTGTTAGGTATTGTTAGTCAGATAGATATTGGATAGATACTTTATGTATTAGAAATGTTTAGTGGAGATAGGATGTCTAGTTAGACTGTAAAATGCTTAGTCATCCTTATGAGTTTCTACAGGGTACATCTGGGCAAGGATAACTAGAGAGAAGAGTTGATGACTGTCAGCAGACAGGATGTTTAATATTATTATTATTATGACGTGTATAACTGTAGCCTTAGCCATAATATGTTCTTATGTTCAAGTCACGACATGTTACTAGAGGTCATGAGAATGTTTTTAGTTACACACCACTTAACCAACAGACACACACATTCACACGTTGATTTGCTTCATGTTTTGACTACTGCTATGACCAGCTGCAAAGCTGGTAACTGAGACGTCTCGGTTGACGTTTCTGTGTAGTATGGGGCTAGCCCAACTGAGGTTTTATAATGTATAGGCCTGGTGGGTTCAGGGTCTTTCATCTTACATCTGCCTGCGAGCAGTTTGGAGGTGCAAGATACCTGAGCGTGTAATGTTAATTTTACCTGTGTTCATTGAATAAATCAGCACCGTTTTGAAGTTACTTGGACTGTCTCGTCTCTCAGAGTTAGCAATGGTAACAAGAACTGGAGCACAACACTATGCATTTTATTATCTGAAAGGCTGTACTTAGCTTCAAATATGAAAATGTCTGTGTTACACTTCATCTCAGCAACTCGAGCTGGAGTTAGGTCTGTCTGCCCTTGTGGCTGTAAACATGCATTAAGTTGACATTACAGTGTGGCTTTTTATTGTTGTAAATAATTACACACAGCAATTCACTGCTAACGAGAGCCTGTTGAAGGAGAATAAAGATGAAAAATACATGTGATATTGACACTGGAAAAAGTATTGCAATTCCCAGAGCGCCACAACAGATTAACAATTAAAAAGATCAACAACTACATTAAGCATTTCTGCCCTCTGCGTGTGCACTGAGCACGTTATCACAGCTCATGACAGTGTTTTGTGTGTCTGCTCTGTTGTATTTAATGTGTTTTGCCCTCATGTGAGGAATGGCATGGGACAGTGCAAATATGCATGTGCCTACACATACACTTAAACAGCCCTCAAAGAGAGCTTACACATACTTGAAAAACACACACATGCACAACACAGCGCACTCACATAAACACACACACACACGCATTCTCCACATGCTTTAGACAAAGAGGTGAAGCAGCGATCATGTTGCTGTTAATGATCTCCTATTGTTATTCAGATTCCCTAAAGCACACTGCAGTGTCATACACATAACCCTTCTGCTTCACAGTCTTGTTGTTTGAAGACGGTCTTCTGTCCGCTGGACACCCACTGAATGGTGGTAATTACACCATTTAGCTCTGTTTAAAGGCATGCTACTTGCAAGCTGTATTTTTCAAATGTCACCATGGCAACTTGTTAACATTTTCATGTGTATTTGGTGCCATCAGGTCAGCTTAGCGTCCAGTCTTTGGTCATACTGTTTTTAAGCTGATTTTAACTGTTAGTCAACAGGCGCCAACAACATTCAGAGACATTTTATTGTTCTTGTTGTTCCATTTTTTTTGAAGGACTAGTACATTATGGGACAGTATGGACCTGTTTTTAAAACTATGATTATCATTATTTCTGTGTTTCCAGTGCTGGAAAGATGAAAACTCACTGCTTTTGTGTAGAAAGCCATACTACAATCTTTATAGTTCCCACTGCTGCTCCTATTCCTCCCCCTTTCAAAATCATATTAAAATTGACATGCTTTCCATTTGACTGTAAGTGCTGACAGGACATTTTCTGCCCCTCTTTTATTTATCGATCACATTTATAGAAAGTCTGCGGTATGGCGGTAAGTCTGAGCCATACTAACTCACAATGTGGAACTGGTGGGTAGGGGAGTTCTTCACAGAGATTATCTGCAGCTCAGGCCTCACTC